CATTTAGGAACATCACGTCTAGCTGCTTTGAACCATAAAACTTTACGTGCATAATCATGGGGAACGGTTAGAAAGAGTTTGTTTGGAGCACTTATGGAGGCATTCTTGCATCCTGACACAAAACATCACTTATTTTGTGATCCATACATGTCACTATTTTCCATAATGCAAGATAATAATAATCAATAAAATAATGAGAATCACAATAACTTAAATAATAAAACAAAGCTGCGAAAACAACAAAATAAACACACTTTATTGATATGACCTACCACGTCACAATCGGGATAGGCAACCGACGATACGGATTCGGCGTTTTTGGCGGAAAATATCTGATTTGAATTTAAATTCGCTTTAAAATTATTATGGAGATTTTTTTTGCAAAAAAAATTATATCAGTGTAATGTTTGCCTACTTACTACTTTCTATATATCAACATAAAAAAAAGTGAAAACACCCCATTGCATACAAATCAAGCGCGGCAGAAAATTTGCTGTTCGAAGATACATAAAAGTGAAGGAAAATAAGCGACCAGATCCAAAAACCAGTTGAGCATCATTTCATCAAAGTCAGTACTTAACAAAATGTTGGAAAAAATGATTTCAAAGAGCATGAGCTTCACATTTCTTGTATTTTATTACTAATCAACGTATAAAACACCACTTAAATAACTTAAAAATTGTAAAAATTCCCTCCCCATCATTATTAACTGCATTACCCTTCAGTCTGTTTCATATGCAGCTTGTAACCGATTCGAAACTGATGACCAGCTAATTAAGGGAATATTGTCGACTGGAAATTCCGCTATACTTTTTGAATTATTAATTAAAGCAATTGACAATCGGGTTGATAGTCTAGATGTATTTGTGGTGCACGTGCCATAAATACAAGTGAATTTCAATGTGTAAACTTTGGAATTGTCTGATTGGCTGCGAAATTTCATCTCATTGAAGTTTTATTATATTTATTCTCTATTATCGCACATTTTACCAAATATTTTCAGGTTTTGTACGGCATTTTAGCGTGTGAACTTTGAACCGTTAACTAAAGTAGTAGTGACCAGATCAAATTATCACGAGATGAAAAGTGGTTGCTTTAATGCAATTCCGTTTCGTTATGATAAACCAAAATGCGAACTCGAAAAGTTGTAATAAGTAACGTATATTGAGTTGTTTAATTTCAGTGTGTGCCTAAACTGTTCGAAATTTCGCTCAAAATATAATCGATATCTCGTTAAACACATGTTTGATCTTCACCGAACCGTTAAAACTCTCATTGGAATGTTAACTTTACACTTTAAACCTCGTTATTAGTTTTGTTGGAAATTGGCTTTTCCAGGCGAAGCTTTGTGGGGAAAAGCTGAAAATATAACGCGCAAACCAGTAAATAATAGATTGCACACGAGGAAAGTTTAACGGCAAAGAAAATGCTTGGAGTATTTCGAGAATTTGTGCCGGGGATCAGCATTTGCATAAACACTTGATCGAAATGTTCATGCAAATTCTTCTTGATCCATTCCTTATTGGTAAACCGAGGCAAGGTCGTGTTCGAAATGCTGAAAGAAGGGTCCGGACCCCAAAAAAAAGTTAATTAAATTTGTTGTCGAAAACAATATTTTAATTAACACTTCTATGTATGATTTAAAAGCTCGAGAAATGTCACATTTGCCTTTTTACCTTAAAATGAATGATATTTTACTTATTGACATTTCTAACGGAATTTTATTTATTTTCAGCTCCTGCAGATGTTGCTGCTTCAAATAAATGTAAGTTTTTCCAATGCATTTAACATCCTATTTTGCAATAACCATCAATAAGAAAAATTAATAAAAATGTCAATATCGGATTACACTTGAAAGTGGGTACCTGCTAAAGAGTGGTGATTCATTGATTTTTTTAAGCATGGAGCGCTTGAAAAAGCCATCTATTTGGCAATAATTTGCAATTGAATGAAGAATGCTAATAGAATAAACAAGCTTGAAATGCGTTTTTTTGTCGCCAGTGCAAATGGAAAGGTGCATTCATACGTTCACTTTATGCGCTCCTAAAAGTTGATCTTATCCGATTACCCACATGAGCTTATTAGGTAACTTTAATGACAAAATATTGAACATAATCGCCCGACTTTGTTAACTGATAATGTTCTGATCTGCAGGTTTTATCTGCAACTGAAAATATGTAATTAGTGTGAAACTGCCGACAATTTAACATCTGAGAGCCGTTAAAAACTGCCTTCTTTTAGATAAGCTGTATCATGAAGCGGACTTTCTAAGCCAATTTGTGCGAGCATCCAACCTTGCAAAGTTAAATATCACATGAGCAAGCGTTGTGCTTAATAGCTTGTTTAAATAATAGCTTAATACGTCGACTAATAAAAGAATTTATTCATTCACTGTTTCACGTTTGGTCATCATCTAACAATGGGTTCAACATGTTAAACAACTTTTGTGTAATATTGTTATGTTTGGTGTTCGTTTTTCGTCGAATTAGTTACACTTTTTGATTATTAATTTACCGAGTTATGTGCTTAATGGCTGTCTAGTTGAAGCCAACAACATTAACAGTTATAAAGAATTTGTGTCATCAGGGATGTGGCTTTTGCAAATTGCTATGTCGATAAAGAGTAGAAGAAATTTAGTGTTACAATAATCTATTGATTCCAAATTGTATTATGTGAAAGGAAATTAAGCTTAAATGTGTTTCCACTGGAAGGAAAGCTAACAACTCCCATTTTGATTCTGCATTTTTGCATTAATTAACTGGCCAGCATTTTCTTTGATTTTGAAGCAAAAAAATTATTTGAATACAATTGTGGTTTTCTAATTTTCGAGATTGTGTCTGACGTTTCTGGAAACCGCTTCACACAAAAACCGTTCTAATTCTTCACAAAATCTCCATTTACCCAGGAAATCGGTAAATTGTGCTGGCGATCAGGTGAAATGCTTCCCAAAAATCACAGAATGATGATAAATGTAGTCTAGTTAGACCGATAGCTAATAGATGTGGTTAATAGTTTTTGGATGCCATAATGAGAAAATATAAGTTTACGATTTTGGCCAGACGAATGAGTCGAAAAAATGTTCGAGAATTAGTAGTCGAGAGTCGAGAAAACGTAGGTGGATAGAGGGATAACGAAGCTTTAGATACAATAAAATCGATTGCAACAGGACTAAATGTGGACTTGGGTAACTTGAAAATTCGAGTTAAAGTTGTAAATCGATTTTCAGTATAAAAAATTCAGGTTAAATTTGGCTTTGGATATTGTGAACTAGATAAAATAAGGTAAGTTTGGTCTTTCACTTGAATTTGAGACACTCTGTACCAATTGGTACCATCCTAAAATAAACTAGACGTTAATATTTACAACTTTAGATTTAACGTTTTTCGCTAAATTTCAAATTAGATGCAAAAACGGGGTGGCCAAAGTTCAATCAATAACCCTGTATATATGTTTTAGTAGATAAATGGCATCTGAATTAGAAGTTCGTGAATTAATAATTGGAAATTTTTATGAAAATTCATCGTGGACCCACCGAAAAATTGACGCAGAAGTAAAAGTTGATAGGACGACCGTATTAAACGTTATTAAGCGGTCCAAGAAACATTAAATGTTACCCGAAAAGTGGGTTCGGGTAGGAAAAGTGGATTTTCACTCCCACAAACGGTGAAGAAAGTTGTCGATAAATTGGAAAATAATCCTATGTCATCCAATCGGAAAATGAGCAATAAAGTGGGTTGCACTGAGAGCACCGTACGTAAATTTTTAGTAGTGAGTTTCTCAAAATGCGATTTCTGATTATACGTTTTAGGAAATAAACCACTGATTTTTCAGAATGGAAAAACTGTTCAAGGCGAACTTAACGGTCCCCGGTTTGATTTCTTGAATAACATTGATCTTTTTCACTGAAAACCCAATGGTATATAAAATTCACTTTTTTTAAATATTTCTTAATCGTTTGGGTCATAACCCATTGTTTTTGTACTGAATTTTGAA